GGGAAATCAAAGCAAGCTATTCTGTTCTTCAATTGGCAAATGAAGCTGAAATTTGATTTTTTGGTATTCCAGTAAAATAGTTATGTTTTCTAACAAAATGTCAAGATATCTTCTTGAGTTAAACTAGATCAAAACCAAAATATTTGTGGGAAAAGGAAGTTTCTGATTACTTTTCTTTAGTATATTTTTAGACATTGTTGGACCTTTATTTTATCCATTTATTTATACGCAGCGCTGAGAATCGAACCCAGTGCCCCACACAGGCTAGTCACTTGCTCTACCACTGAGCCACAACCCAGCCCCATCTGATTACTTTTTTAAACTCTTATAGAGACAGGTTCAGGGGGCATGCCTCTAATCTCAACTATTCAAAAGGTTAAGGCAGGAGGATTGTAAATTTGAGGCCAACCTGGCCAATTTAGCAAGACCCTAAGATAAATAAAATAAAAAGGATTGAGGATGTAACTCAGTGGTGGAATGCCCAGACTTAGGACAAAATGGAGTAAATGGTAATTATTAAATTGAAAAATAAAATTGGGGAAATCAGTATTACAATGTGCCTGCTGAGGACCTTCAATGTATACGGAAACTATTGCTGAAAAATGTTGAGGGCCACAGGTATCCATTGGTGAGAAGCTATCCCTCAGTAGATTCCTCACTTCCTGCAGTGGGACAGTGAGAAATAATGGGCAAACAGGATTGGAACTGTATTTGAAGAAAAAGTCTATTCATTATAAAACCATTTGGGAGAAGGGATACCCGGAGGAAATTGAATATGAATTAGTCACCAGGAATGAAATGTATCATCCAAGTATATCAAATAACAGTTTGGGCCACTTGTTTTGTGTAAGTGTGGGGGTTACCCACCTGGATGAGTGTGTCATAGGGGTGGATGGAGATGAGGAGAGAATCTTTCCAATAGACTCCTGTGGGATGTGTCTTAACGAAGAGATTAGCAGACAGTAGAGAATGGAAGATTGAGCATGTAAAACAAATATTTATGAAGCCATTCTCCCATTTTGTAGCCTCTGTTTTCTATGGTTTGCTTTTTACCCTTTTAAGGTACAATTTCTCCTTCACTGTTTCTCTGGAAGCCCTTCAGTGTTTTTTTTTTCTGGAGCTCCCAGAAGAAAACTCCAAAGCTTCTTTTTATGCAGGAAAAAATGATAAAATTTTGGATCACACCTATCTCATATTTCACAGTTAAAAATATTTTTGAATTATTTCCTAAAATAAATAAGTAAATAAATAAAAATACAAAAACCATTTCCCTCAAGTGTCCACCTTTATCAGCATAAAAAGCAAACAAAAAGCTTGCTTTACATACAGTCTCCTCTACCACATGCAGTTTTTGGGTAGCAGGCTGGAGAGCATACATTGTTTGTTTAATAAAAATACTAAATGTTAAGGGCCCTCTAACCCCTAGTATCCTCAGAAGATGCCCACTACGGTTCCTAAATACGGCATGCATTTTTAGATTCTGGCCTCTGTTTGCATACTATGTTACATGGGCACACTTGCTTTTTCCTTGGTCTCTTGGCTCAACCCTCCTTCCAATCTTTTGTTCGTAGGCATTTGATTTGTCAAGTTCTACAAGTTCTTTACAACACTAAGATCTTTAGAGGCCTGCAACATGGGGGAGCCATGGGTGTGGTTGCTGAGTAATGATAAAGACCGAGAAGATCCAGGCTGGTACTGCATCATAGTGTCAGAGAACCATTGTTCCTACTCTATAAGCCTGAGCTGAGCTGGAAGTTTTGGTCATGTGCCCATATGACCATGGCATATCTACAGCATTGCCCTCTTCACATTGTGGGGCATTCAATTTCCTTAAGCATTTCTATTACAGACGGGTTTGCCATGTATGACAAATTAATCAGTCTGTTTCCCAGTCTATCAATAAAGGGTTCATTACACAGTGGAAATCTTTCATGTTGCTCCACTTGATTCCTCTCAGGTAGTTGTCATGACCACTATCTCTGCAGAGGTGAGAAGCAGAGGATCAGAGGGGAGAAATGATGGTGAGATCACAAATCACACCCAACAGAGAATTAGGTGTGAGGTCTGGGTTTCCTGCCTCTGGTTTCTTTATAGCATGAGGTTAGAGAATGATGTTAAATTTTATTTGAAATGTTATCTTTGTGCTTGCACTTGTCTCCTTCTATTATCTTTTCCAGCCCTAGCCTCAAGTGGGGTCATCTGACCCCATCTTCTACGCTAGACAAAAGCACAGGGGGCAAGACATTGTTCTCTTTTCCTTGACCACCTTGACTACTGTAAAATGGTACTGCTCCCCAGAGCTCCTGAGAGTTCATGAGAGGCTGCTCTCTGACCCCTTAAGGAAAAGAATCAGGGTCAACACTTTAACTAAAGTTTCTGGCCATTTCTACTCCCTTTACACCAAAAGGTCTTTTCTAATGAAACGTGGATAAAGATAAGATGAATTTTCAGGGTGGTAAAATGGCCTTGAGATGCAGAGAGAAATACAGCATGATTGTTGCGAATCATTTATTTTTCTTCTACTACCTTCCCTTCCTTAACCTTCAGGGGTCCTAACATCTGTGTCATTGCATTGATTTTTGTTTGTCTCAATTCAGGCATCAGAGTTATTGAACTTCTCTTGGAATGTAAACTCTAGAATTTCTGTAGCTGGATTTAGTAAATGAGAATATCTTCTCTAGTACGTCGTATGAATTTCTCACTATTTCTGGCCTTTAATGAATCAATATCAAAAGCTCTGGTAAAGTTATTAGGGTTGTGTTTGAGTATACAAAAGAAGCCTGACTGCCCTTAAGGAATTTACAACCTGGGCTACAAGACAAAACGAACTTGAATTTTAAAAAGATCACTCAGGAGAATCTACAAGGGCCAAGTTATGAGATGCCTCAGTGACGATAGAGAGAAAGAAGAAAGTGATCGAAATATATACTGAAGAAAATATGGCGGTGATCTCTGGGAACTCATGGGTATAAAGGAAAAGGAGGAACAATTATTTGTAAAGCTTCTTCCTAGGATGATGGGAATTTTTAGTGGTCCCTGGAAAAGAACTTTGAGTGCAAAAGGATGAAGTCAAGGTCTATATTTGAGACCTTGGAGGTGAAGAAAGAATTGCTCAACATTTCCAGTGATCCTAGAGTCTGGATTTTCTTTGGCGTTATGTGGCTCTCATAGACACTCTTCAGAGAGTTTAATCAGTTCAAGGGCTTGAACCCACTTATCCTTGACAAGAAAATACGAGAAGGAGCAAGCTAAGAAAACACCTGTTAATTTTTTTTTCTGTTTGTTAATGATGTTTAACCTGATGGAAAACAGAAATTTTCAGTATCTTTAAAACAAGCAACTTTTCCCATTCAACATACTACTGTTAAGAATTATTTCTATCCATCTCAGGGATAAAAAAAAGGGAGGGCTACATTTAAAATGTCTTTGAAGGAACTAAACATGATTTCAGAAACCAGCATTTGAGCACTCAATAGACATAATAAAATCCTATATGTGTTCTTTAAAATTTCTATAAGTTCTCAGAAATATGTTGGTAGCACACTTCAAAAATTTAGACCACTGTCAGCCACTGGACCAAAGTTTCACTGATGAACTGAAGAGATAAGGCCGTACGCTTTTAGTAATAATATAATACTTTGTACTTCTGATAATGCTTTTATCTGAAGAGCTCAAGGCACATTAAAGGAAAAATAGAGATAGGAGAAATGGGAGTAATAATAGCACAGTTAAAGCAAGTATAGAAATATTCTGTATAGATCAAGGTCAAGAATTTCCAAAACGGATCAATATCATAACTGCATCACTCCTGATCTCATACACAAATGTAGCAGCCCCTGCGGATGTGCAGCAGAAAACACAGCATAGAAATTGAAACTACAGAAATATTACTCCAAAGAACTTCAGCCTTGCTGCAGTTCTTTAGATAGGAGAGTTATAAACCCTTTAAACCCCTGGAATAATATCTTATCTATTTACTACTGAAGTACTGAACATTACTGTGTCGACAGTAACAAGGAAAAATATATACCAAGTTAAAATGTTTTAGCACCACATGCTCTATGAGGACAATTTCATAGTAAAGCTGGCAGAATTGAGTTACAAAGTTGTCTTAGCCCCTTTTGTGTTGCTATAATAAAACACCTGGTGCTATTATGATGAAAAAAAATGCTCATTGGACTCACCATATAGTGGTCGGAAAGTCTGAATAGCACAGCACAGGCATTTGGTGAGGGCCCCTGGCTGCATGATAATGTGGTGATGGCATTGCATGACAGAAGCATATGTGAGAGAGATGAGCAGACAGGGATCAGGAAAATGCATCATTTCCCTTAAAGCCTCAATCACATCTTGATAGCCTCATCACCTCAATACCTTTACACTGAGAATTAAACCTAAATATGAGTTTCTGGGTGAGGACAGATCACATTCAGACATAGCAAAAGGAGAAAGGTAATTTCCCCAAGTGTTCTCTAGGCTACTGTGAAATTTCACTAGGCATTATGACTAGAATTATACATGGTCAAACACACAGGAAAGAGTGCTCATGCTTACCACTTGTGGAAATTAAATAAATACACTTAAACCATCTACCCTTTTTCTAACCCCAAACACTTAGTAACATCTTTTGGGACACCTGTTTTTTTGTTGTTGTTGTTTTTTTTTTGAGAACAGAAATTGAAAAAAAGCTTTGTGGTGGAAATAAAATGTCTCCAGACATTAGAAGATCTTGTTTCAATGTCAACTATGAGGTAGATGAATATAGATAAGCCCGTTTGGTTTTCTAAGCCTCAGTTTATTTGCCAATAAAGTGAGGATTTTGTATCATAATCCTTAGTTCTTTCTGGCAATAAAATTATGTGACTCTATTTGAAGCATCCATTTAGAGCTCGGCATCTGTAAATATACCATATGGATATTATGCTAAATTTGCAAGAATTTATAAGAAACTTGAATTCTTAAGAAAAAAAAACAGCATTAGTATAATGATTCAGACTTACCTGCAAACTCTCATTCAGGTAAAATTTGTTCTCTTGCCAGGGAAGAGTTCATCAATTTCTGCTTTCACATGGAGAGCTTATTGGATGTAATTTCTGCAGCAATAAAATTACATAAAAGATTGGTGAGGTGCATCTTTAGATGATGGTACTTTTCATGGGAGACCAAAATGTCCCATCCAAGGACATCTTCCACAGTGAACACTTCTAATTAATTTCTCAGTGGCAGCAGTGCTTAATTTATCAGTGCTTTGAGAGCACATGGCACCTGTCTCCATGGTAAAAGCTGCAGTGGAATATGATCATGCTCAAAGACCCTCAGTGCCTTCTGTACTCCTTCAGCTCCCACTTTTGCTCAATTACCTGGTGTTAGAGACTGTGCTCAGAGTTGTAAAATCAAGAAAAAAATTCACTCAAAAATTCACTTTTAGAGACACCAAAATAGAAAACTATAACAGAAGCTTTCAGAGACTTTTCTCAGGTAGTCTGCTAAAGTGTATTCTAAATCTGGCTGCAACTCAAATGACCTGAGAACATTTAAAATGCTAATAGAGCCTCCTGGGCTCTAGCAGGACCTGTTCAATGAGAGTCTCCCCAGCAATTTTGGAAAGCTCACCAGATAGGTCTACCTGGTCTATCAGACACCAGCATACTGGCCAAAATAGGTGAGCAAGAGTGGAGCTCCTTGACCTGAAGGATGTGATCTCTTTGAAATAGTTAAACACCTACTTGGGAGCTTGGAAAGGGTGCAAATTCTGAGGGCCATTTATGGAAACGGATACTGATCCATATCCAACTATGGACATTGTTGCCCATTTAATTAGCTCATTGATGTCATGGTGAAACAGTTCTGTTTTCCTGTGAGGTAAGTACTTATGGCCATTTGTGTAAACATCCTTTGTAGACATAGCATGCTTCCCTGTTAGAGGAAATGATGAGGCCAATTTTGCAAAAGGAACACTAATATTCTTACATATAAAAGTTGGGACTGAAAGAGAATTACAAACATGTTAAAGAAGGCGAGAAAGGTATTAAAGTCTTTCTGAGTTTATGGTCTTCGCGCTCTTAGATAACTCATATGAACTCCTCTGAGCCTCAGCACCTGTAGGATATTTGGACAAGCGGGAAGAAAGAGTAAGGTGGGAGAGATAATTGTAGTTGCTCCTTCAAAGGTCAACGCGTCAAAAATTTATTGAGTATTTTAATATGCCAGATCCCATTGCTTGGTGCTTCTATGTATACCATTTCATATAATCCTCACAAGAGCACTGCAGAATGTTCAGTAATACTGTAACTGATATGGATGAAGAAAGAGCTAATTAGAATACTCCATGAATGTGTGGCTTGTCAAAATACATTCTACTGTCACATATATCTTAAAAGAACCAGTAAATACAAATAAAAATGAGCTAATCAGGAGGTCCAGAGGTGGCAGATTAGACATACATGTTTATGTCTACTAACTGATAATAAAATAAAGTTGTGAAATATATACACTCAGAAAAGCAAAGAGAAAGGGAATTATACAACCCCAAGTTTAAAACCTGGAAAGCAAATGGGTCAATGGTAATTGATTTATCAAACTCCAGACCGTTGTATCTAAAATCATCAGTGACCAATGCTAATGAGCAAAACCTTTTATACCACAGAGCCCATTAAAAAGTACAAAAAGTAGCTACTACACATACATCGGAAAGTGTTCCAAACTGAAGCTAAAAAAGAGCAAATAGTAGAAAGCCTGTCTATGAAGGGCTTAGTCACTCTGCCTCATTCTATCTTTGTGTGCAACTAGGCAACAGTCCTCCTCACCCTGGCTGCAGAATGGAAGTTTCTTTTTTGAAGAGAGTGTAATGGAGGAACTGTGCATAATAGTTGTAGTTGAGAAAAAGTACACTGTACTGAACACACCAGTATTGAATGAATGATTACAAAGGAAAAATTGAGTTTTCTCCCGTATTTTTTTCCACTTGTTTCCCAGAGTACTGTCAACTAGACTCTTATCCTCCAGAAAGAAGATCAAAAGAATCTTCTCCATAGAATTTGACTAGCCCAAGAGAAAAAGACCTAACACTAAAGTCATTAAGGTTCTTTATCATTACTGCACAGCTAAGACCATCCTCCACTGAACTCAGCAATGAAGATTCAGTTCCTTGGGTATAAAGCTTCCAGTCAGCTGTTCAGCTGTTTCCTTATCAACAGGCAGCCGGAAATCACCAGGCAACCCAGGGCTTCCTCTACTATCAAAGGCAAAGACAAAATCACCCCAAGAAGAGGACTGTTTGGAGGAAATTGAGACTCTGTAAGACATGAAAACAAAACCAAATATAAATAGAGAGATACGAAAGGATATTGACTTTATGAAATAAGAACAGGGTGGTGTTATAGTTTAATATTTAGAGAACAAAAAGTATAACTTGGAAATTAAAAATATAAGAGTGGAAATTCTTTTTTAAAAAAAAATGGTTTGAAAGATAAAGCAAAGAAAATTTTTCCTCAAAGAAACCAGAATATCAATAAGATCATATAAGAAAGGGTGAAAGAATTAAAGGGCCATTTCAGAAAAAATAAGAAACAGAGAAAATAATTATCAAAAAATAATTAAAAAACACTTCCATTATTGAAGGACACGTGTTCAGTTTGAGACCTCCTTTTGAGTACCAAGCAGAATAAGTAAAATAAATCGTGGACTATAATCATGATCATGAAATTTTGAAACACTGGGGAAAAAATGCTAACTATTCTCAAGAAATAAGATTCTATAATAATGATTAAAAAATAAGAATGCCATTAAATTTTCAACAACACCAAGGAATCTTAAAAATAATAGATGAATGCTTTCAAAATTTTGAGACAAAGTAAATTCTAAAAAAAATATTTTCTTACTTAATATATGTAAAGAATAATCTATGTTAAAGTACAAAATCAATAAAAATGTTTACCTCTCAAGTATGCTTTCTCTGAAAGCTAACCAAAGTGTACATTCCAGCAAAATAAAGGAATAAAGCGAAAGAGGGAGGCAAGGGTCCAGTGGACATTGATTTCAACTAAAGGGATAAGTAAAGAGAATTTCCAAAGATACTGAGCAGGGAGAGCCTCCAATGAGAGCTGACCTTTGTTGGAGTGAATCCAAAGGCTCCATGAGTGACTACTGCAGAGGAATGAAATGGATATTGAATATGTTTTAGTATTTAGGATTAAATGATAGGCAGAACCTTTGGACTTGAACTAGTGGCACTAATACAGGAAATCAAACAAGCTATAAACAAGACAACTTTTGGCTCCAGAAAAAGCAGAAGTTATGTAGGAAAGAAAATAACCCTGCAAAATGACACATAGATCCCATGACTCAGGTCAGTACCTTTGCATGGTTGAAATAAACACTGAGCAGGATTCTACACCATGTTATGTATGCTTGTATGAAGAAGGTGGAGGATAGAAACCCTGTGTTATAACCTAACAGGACCCAGGGAAGGGAAAGGCATTATAAGAGAGTAAGATCCTCACCCTCCAGAGCTGAACCGTAGTTAGTGAATGACCATATCTGAAACTAAGTGGTAAACGATGCCTGTGGGAGCAAGAAACTGGGATGGTAGGATGAGAAGGAAAAGAAACTGATCCTTTTCAAAACAAGCTCTATGGGAACATTTGACTGTCCAAACTATTCGATGTGTTAGTTTGATAAAAAAAAAAAATTAAACAGAAGTGTATTTTTGAATACTCTTCATTTCCAACACAGATCCCATTGTGATTTAGAGACCTTGTGACACAATTTGACATTTTTTATGGGTACACATTCAGAGACATGCAATTCATCAGTAAAGCACTGGTATTTACATTAGTATTTCTAATGTAGGAAATTCTCTAAAAGAAGTTATGAATTTCCTGATTCTTTTGTTCTAAAATGATTTCACAGATAAAGAGATAAAGTAATGTGTTCAAATTTGGTATTGCCCAATACCGCTATTTTATCTTTTCTGTTTTTGTTTTAGAAATGGAACTTCAAGAAAAACATAGCTTTCAAAATCAGGGAACATTTCTCATGAAAATGTTGGCAAACTGTCTTTAGGTCGGTTTTATTTAAATGAAGATTCTGTGGGTGTATCTAAGCATGAAATGTTGGATTTGAAGACATGAAACAACTCATGTTGTCAAGGAGAAAACATATCCTGTTTCATGTGTTTATAATTCTGAAGATCTCATTGAGATCAGAGGAACTGTCCAATAAGATCACAACTTTGCAAGCTGCTTTAAAATTTTAAAACCAATCCAGTAGATTTTTATACATTTCCCCAGTTACTTCCAGTAATGATTATTCTAGAGCCTTGCAGAAATATCATAGTAAGACTTTGTTTTAGAATTCACAGCCCAAAATTCTAATTGTTTCATAGTGTGGTTTTTATCCATGTATGGAGTAACAGACTCACTATTTCCATGGAACACCGGGCAACCTGTAAAGGCTGCTGTGAGGGCATTCCTGTTGATGTGGATCCCTGAAGCTTGTCTGCCTCTGAGACTGGTCTATTCCATTCTTCCCAGAAATTTATGACTATTCATTCAGCTTGGGTTTTTTTTTTTTGAGGGGGGTGGGGGGGTACCAAGTATTGAACTCAGGGACACTCAGCCACTGAGCCACATTCCCAGTCCTATTTTGTACTTTATTTAGAGACAGTATCTCACTGAGTTCCTTAGTGCCTCCCTTTTGCTGTGGCTGTCTTTGAACTTGCGATCCTCCTGCCTCAGTCTCCTGAGCTGCTGGTATTACAGGCATGCACCCCCACGTCCGGCAACTTTCTAGTTTTGATTTTCCAACTTCTTTCTGTCATTCAAGTTCCAGCTCAAGAATATCTTCATTTGTGAGTCATTATTAGACTATTCCAACTGGAAGAATCTTACATGTATTGCTTTGTAAATTATTTTAGAATTATGTCTTGATTTCTTGTGCCAAGGCATTTAATGTTTATTGTTACCATCGTGTTTTCTCTTATATTTGTCTCCTAAACTAAAAGGTAAGGTCTTTGTAGACAGGACCCATCCCCAGCATGTTTTTCTATCACCCCTCTGATTGCCTGCACACAGTCAGCACTCAATATAA